TGTTCTCTGGGCCGGGAGAGAACCATCGGGAGGGAACCACTTCAGTCAATGGACCTCTAACCTGCAGGTCACATTGATACCGAGAGGAGAAGATAGAAGATATACAAACACTGAGCTGATACAATTGTTACCAATACATTATACCAACCTTACTACCCCAGAGGAACCCTTCAAACTATGTTCAGGTCTCATGGAAAGCTCTGCTAAATCATTGGGGGTCAGTGGGAGGAATGTTCCTTACATTGGGGGTCAGTGGGAAGAATGTCCCTTACATTGGGGGTAAGTGGGAGGAATGTCCCTTACATTGGTGATCGGTGGGAAGAATGTCCCTTACATCGGTGGTCAGTGGGAAGAATGTCCCTTACATTGGGGGGTCAGTGGGAAGAATGTCCCTTACATTGGGGGGTCAGTGGGAAGAATGTCCCTTACATTGGGGGTCAGTGGGAAGAATGTCCCTTACATTGGGGGTCAGTGGGAAGAATGTCCCTTACATTGGTGGTCAGTGGGAGGAATGTCCTTTACATTGGGGGTCAGTGGGAAGAATGTCCCTTACATTGGTGGCCAGTGGGAAGAATGTCCCTTACATTGGGGGTCAGTGGAAGAATGTCCCTTACATTGGGGGTCAGTGGGAAGAATGTCCCTTACATTGGGGGTCAGTGGGAAGAATGTCCCTTACATTGGTGATCAGTGGGAGGAATGTCCCTTACATTGGTGGTCAGTGGGAAGAATGTCCCTTACATTGGGGGTCAGTGGGAAGAATGTCCCTTACATTGGGGGTCAGTGGGAAGAATGTCCCTTACATTGGTGATCAGTGGGAGGAATGTCCTTTACATTGGGGGTCAGTGGGAAGAATGTCCCTTACAGTGTGATCAGTGGGAAGAATGTCCCTTACATTGGGGGTCAGTGGGAAGAATGTCCCTTACATTGGGGGTCAGTAGGAAGAATGTCCCTTACATTGGGGGTCAGTGGGAAGAATGTCCCTTACATTGGGGATCAGTGGGAAGAATGCTCCTTACATTGGGGATCAGTGGGAAGAATGTCCCTTACATTGGGGATCAGTGGGAAGAATGTCCCTTACATTGGGGGTCAGTAGGAAGAATGTCCCTTACATTGGGGGGGTCAGTGGGAAGAATGTCCCTTACATTGGGGATCAGTGGGAAGAATGCTCCTTACATTGGGGATCAGTGGGAAGAATGTCCCTTACATTGGGGATCAGTGGGAAGAATGTCCCTTACATTGGGGGGTCAGTGGGAAGAATGTCCCTTACATTGGTGGTCAGTGGGAAGAATGTTCCTTACATTGGGGGTCAGTGGGAAGAATGTCCCTTACATTGGGGGGTCAGTGAGAAGAATGTCCCTTACATTGGGGGGTCAGTGGGAAGAATGTTCCTTACATTGGGGGTCAGTGGGAAGAATGTCCCTTACATTGGTGATCAGTGGGAAGAATGTCCCTTACATTGGGGGTCAGTGGGAAGAATGTCCCTTACATTGGGGATCAGTGGGAAGAATGTCCCTTACATTGGTGATCAGTGGGAAGAATGTCCCTTACATTGGTGATCAGTGGGAAGAATACCCCCCCATGCTGGTGGCCAGTGGGAAGTATGTCCCTTACATTGGAGGTCAATGGAAAGAATGGTCCTTAAATTGGTGGTCAGTGGGAAGTATACCCCTTACATTGGTGGTCAGTGGGAAGAATGTCCCTTACATTGGGGGTCAGTGGGAAGGATGTCCCTTACATTGGTGGTCAGTGGGAAGAATGTCCCTTACATTGGGGGTCAGTGGGAAGTATACCCCTTACATTGGGGGTCAGGGGGAAGAATGTCCCTTACATTGGGGGTCAGTGGGAAGAATGTCCCTTACATTGGAGGTCAGTGGGAAGAATGTCCCTTACATTGGAGGTCAGTGGGAAGAATGTCCCTTACATTGGAGGTCAGTGGGAAGAATACCCCTTACATTGGTGGTCAGTGGGAAGGATGTCCCTTACATTGGGGGTCAGTGGGAAGAATGTCCCTTACATTGGTGATCAGTGGGAAGAATGTCCCTTACATTGGTGATCAGTGGGAAGAATGTCCCTTACATTGGGGGGTTAGTGGGAAGGATGTCCCTTACATTGGTGGTCAGTGGGAAGAATGTCCCTTACATTGGTGGTCAGTGGGAAGAATGTCCCTTACATTGGTGGTCAGTGGGAAGAATGTCCCTTACGTTGGTGGGCAGGAAGTCAGAATACTCCCCTTACAGACAGCCGAAAAGATCAGTGGTTTCATTCCACCAAGTGACGTTAGACCTGAAATTATGGAGGCCCAATCAGATGGGAGGTCAACCATTCACAGTTCAAAGAACTGAGTTTGGCGGGTTGATAGGAGGAGGAACCTGAAGAGGAATCTTGGTTGAGAATGGCTGCATTATTCAGATACATTACATTTAGAATGATTGGGAAGGGGGGGGGGCATGAAGTGTCCATGTATAAAGCAAGTAAAAAGACGACTCCCGTCCCTTCTCTCCTCAATTTATAGACAAGCAGAAGCCGAAATATGTTTCCTTTGCTGGAAATACCACTTCTCCGTGGTGCCTAGACGTTCAGTCATGTGAAATGCTGAAGCAGCCGTTTCTTGTGGTTTCTACAGCTATTTTTAAAGTGTAACCGTCATTTCCTTAACCCCATTAAACTGCCACTGAGATGGTTCTAGATGATGGCTGCCAATGCCAAGCTTGTGGATTTGCTTCCTAATAAAAGAGGACACCAGTGATCCCTCCAGTGAGTGGTGACTACACTTGGGTCTGTGAGCAGAGGTGGATCCTACAACCCCTGGCACCCAGGTTTGAAGTGGCATTGGGCAGAAGTGGCTCGGAGCAGAGAATTTATGCTGGGGCACCCAAATGACTATGTTCTCGTTGCAGATTTGTCCTTACTTCCTGTAAAATGATGTCAGCTAGACAGGAAATGAGGGCAAATCTCTTGGACGGACCAGGATAGTAGGAGCACAAAACCCCACAGAGGTCCTAATCCTTCTCCGTTCCATCCAAAGCAGAGAGAGCTTTTTTTTTGGACTTACACCGCAAATAATAATATCTGTCCAATGTAATAACTGCTTTATGTTACATGTAATGATTGTCGATTGTTTGAAATGTTTGTTTATATATGTTTTATATACAGTCAGGTCCATAAATATTGGGACATCAACACAATTCTAAATTTTTTGGCTCTATACACCACTACAATGGATTTGAAATGAAAGGAACAAGATGTGCTTTACCTGCAGACTGTCAGCTTTAATTTGAGGGTATTTACATCCAAATCAGGTGAACGGTGTAGGAATTACAACAGTTTGCATATGTGCCTCCCAATTGTTAAGGGACCAAAAGTAATGGGACAGAATAATAATCATAAATCAAACTTTCACTTTTTAATACTTGGTTACAAATCCTTTGCAGTCAATGACAGCCTGAAGTGTGGAACGCATAGACATCACCAGACGCTGGGTGTCATCCCTGGTGATGCTCTGCCAGGCCTCTACTGCAACTATCTTCAGTTCCTGCTTGTTCTTGGGGCATTTTCCCTTCAGTTTTGTCTTCAGCAAGTGAAATGCTCAATCGGATTCAGGTCAGGTGATGGACTTGGCCATTGCAGAACATTCCACTTCTTTGGTTGCTTTTGCAGTCTGCTTTGGGTCATTGTCCATCTGCACTGTGAAGCGCCCAATGAGTTGTGAAGCATTTGGCTGAATATGAGCCGATAATATTCCCGAAACACTTCACAATTCATCCGGCTGCTTCTGTCAGCCGTCACATCATCAATAAATACAAGAGAAGCAGTTCCATTGGCAGCCATACATGCCCCCGCCATGACACTACCACCACCATGATCACTGATGAGGTGGTATGCTGAGGACCATGAGCAGTTCCTTCTCCATACTCTTCTCTTCCCATCACTCTGGTACAAGTTGATGTCGGTCTCATCTGTCCATAGGATGTTGTTCCAGAACTGTGAAGGCTTTTTTACATGTCGTTTGGCAAACTCTAATCTGGCCTTCCTGTGTTTGAGGCTCACCAATGGTTTCCATCTTGTGGTGAACCCTCTGTATTCACTCTGGTGAAGTCTTCTCCTGATTGGTGACTTTGACACACATACACCTACCTCCTGGAGAGTGTTCTTGATCTGGCCAACTGTTGTGAAGGGTGTTTTCTTCACCAGGGAAAGAATTCTTCGCTCATCCACCACAGTTGTTTTCCGTGGTCTTCCGGGTCTTTTGGTGTTGCTGAGCTCACCGGTGCGTTCCTTCTTTCTAAGAATGTTCCAAACAGTTGTTTTGGCCACGCCTAATGTTTTTGCTATCTCTCTGATGGGTTTGTTTTGTTTTTTCAGCCTAATGATGGCTTCACTGATAGTGACAGCTCTTTGGATCTCATCTTTAGAGTTGACAGCAACAGATTCCAAATGCAAATAGCACACTTGAAATGAACTCTGGACCTTTTATCTGCTCATTGTAATTGGGATAATGAGGGAATAACACACACCTGGCCAGGGAACAGCTGAGAAGCCAATTGTCCCATTACTTTTGGGCCCTTAACAAGTGGGAGGCACATATGCAAACTGTTGTCATTCCTACACCGTTCACCTGTTTTGGATGTCAATACCCTCAAATTAAAGCTGACAGTCTGCAGTTAATGCACATCTTGTTCCTTTCATTTCAAATCCATTGTGGTGTATAGAGCCAAAAATGTTACAATTGTGTCCATGTCCCAATATTTATGGACCTGACTGTATATATATAATTTATTTTTATTATTATTTAATATGATGTTAGAATATATGTGAAGATAAATGAAACATTGACCTAAAATGTGATTTCCGTCAGATGTTGGATCTGGATAATCTTTGATTATGATCTCTCAGAAATGCAGCTTTGTGTGTTTTGATCCTGTATTACCTTTTTGTACATTGGAGGTGAATTGTTGGCATCACAGCATATAACAGGATGGATTTTCCTCCTCTCCATACAGGTGACCTGAGGCCCGTGTCCATGCCCACTGACTACAGCTGGATAGGAGACCCCAAAGAGCCCAACATGTACAAGAGAGGGAGCCGAGGTGAGCCGAATGTGGGTTCTGTGTGCGTCCCGTGGTCTGTGTGCGTTCTGTTCTTCATACTCTATTGTTAATATTTAGGATACATTGATATATTGAGCGGTCATTAAAAATCACAAGACTGAACCAATGGACATCCATTTTTGCTTGTAAATGGTTAAAAGCCAATAATAGAACACAGACCTGACAGACTCGTCAGCTTTGCCTTTGCGTCTTCTTCCCAATACTGAGCAAATTGATGGCACCGCTTGCTGATTTTTTTGCTGAACGAACACCAATATTAAAAGTTTTTGGACTCTCACTTCAGTAGTCTGATGCCCTTTTTTGGACTTTGGTTTCCCAACTTCAGGCCCCCCAATTTAAGAGGCACCCTGTTTGTCTTTTAGAGCATCCTCTCTGAAGCCATTGCCCCCAATAATTTGTTGTATCATCAATACAGTGACTCAATTACACATGCACTATATGGCCACCATTTTGTGGACACCTGACCATGACTCTCTTATGACCTTGATGGACATCCAATTCCAAAACCATGATTCCCTCCCCCCATTGCCATTGATATGGAGTTGCCCCCTTTGTGGTTATACCATCCTCCACTTAATGAAAGACAAGATTTTGGAGGGTGTCTGTGGGAATTTGTGCCCATTTGTGAGGTCAGGTACTGATAATGGATGAGAAGACTTGGCTCGCCATCATCATTCCAAATAATTCCAAAGGTGTTCAGTAGGGTTGAGCTGAAGGCTCTGTTCAGGACATTTGTGTTCTTCCACACCAAACTGGTCAACCCATGTCTTTATGGAGCAGGTAAAACTGGTCAAAGTATATCTTTATGGAGCTGATCTACACAGGTCAACCCATGTCTTTATGGAGCTGGTCCAAACTGGCCAACCCATGTTTTTATGGAGCAGGTTCAAACTGGTGAAACCATGTCTTTATGGAGCCAGTCCAAACTGATCAACCCATGTCTTTATGGAGCTGGTCCAAAGTGGTCAACCCATGTCTTTATGGAGCCGGTTCAAACTGGTCAAACCATGTCTTTATGGAGCCGGTCCAAACTGATCAACCTATGTCTTTATGGAGCTGATCCACATAGGCAACCCATGTCTTTATGGAGCTGATCCACATAGGCAACCCATGTCTTTATGGAGCTGGTTCAAACTGGTCAACCCATGTCTTTATGGAGCTGATCCACATAGGCAACCCATGTCTTTATGGAGCTGGTTCAAACTGGTCAACCCATGTCTTTATGGAGCTGATCCACATAGGTCAACCCATGTCTTTATGGAGCTGGTTCAAACTGGTCAACCCATGTCTTTATGGAGCTGATCCACATAGGCAACCCATGTCTTTATGGAGCTGGTCCAAACTGGCAAACCCATGTCTTTATGGAGCTTATCCACACAGGTCAACCCATGTCTTTATGGAGCTGGTCCAAACTGGAAAACCCATGTCTTTATGGAGCTTATCCACACAGGTCAACCCATGTCTTTATGGAGCTGGTCCACACTGGCAAACCCATGTCTTTATGGAGCTGATCCACACAGATCAACCCATGTCTTTATGGAGCTGGTCCACACTGGCAAACCCATGTCTTTATGGAGCTGATGCACACTGGTCAGAATCCATGTCTTCAAGGAGCTGGCTTTGTACACAGGGATACAGTCATGCTGGACTTTCTCAAACTGTTACCACAAGGTTGGAAGAAAACAATTGTCTACAATGTCTTTGTATATTGTAATATTTACTGTACTTATCACTGGAAACATCTGAACTCCATCATTTGGTGGAGGGGGGGGGGGGTTCACATACGTCTGGCCATATGGTGTATGGAGCCACTCTATGCCGCCAGAACAAGACATTGGAGACATACAAGGGTGACTTTACTAAAGGCAAACAAACTATGCACTTTGCAAATGCAGTTGCAGTAATCTTCCTTAATAAAAGTTATGTAGTGAAGTTTCACTTTGTAAAGAATAACCAATCAAGTGAAAGGAAAATGAAAAAAACTAAAGCATTTTTGATGGAAGATGGATATCCGCAGAACTTCCTCATCTTCTAAGCTCTGGGGAAACTGAGAGCGACTACATTTGCACTTACATTTCCTCTTGGTAAATTCCAGACGAAAAGTAAATTCTAAATGGGAAATTGCAGGAGCACGTGTGAGGGTATAGGATTTAGTTCATTGGAAGCCAGAACTCAGCCTATCAAAGTGTGAGGAATCCCAACCCTATGAACCCCGAACCCCTGAGTAACTACAGTGTTGCATATCCCCACCCCCCCCATCCCCCCACCTCACAAAGCAACGCAGGCCATTGTGTACTAACCTGTGGGCATCCAGACTTGATCACTTTGACCCAGGGGCGGACTGATCATTCGAGCACTCGGGCACCGCCCGAGGGCCCGGGGTCAGTAGGGGGCCCCATGAAATGCCCCTGGTACCTTTTTATAGGCTTTTTTGGGTGTGCTTTGAGTGTGGGCAAGGACACAGGGGCCCCATGATCCCCTATTGCCCGGGGGCCCCATGAGTTGTCAGTCCGCCCCTGCTTTGACCACACATGATCTCTGGCTGTCGGGAGGATTTTAGTTGTCAGACATCATTAGAGCCTATTTTCAGTCACACCTTTAAACTCATCTCTCTTTCTCATGATTGTCGCAAAAACACATTAAAAAATATAGATTTCAGAGAGAAAATAGAGCACTTGTGCTTTATTGTGAGCGGTAGATGGAGTGTTCCTTTAATTTGGAGCCATTATGGAGCTCTGCAGCGTGGGACGCACCATTAGGAGTCACACTTGTACTATTAGCAGCTCAGTCACTCGTACAGATTCTTCTCTCAGCATAATGTGAGATTGAGGTTGTCTGAGGACTCCACCGAATAAACGTGTCTTACATCAGAGTCATTGGAGCAGAGTGTACGGAGCGCAGTCACCGATCCACAATCGGGACATTGTCAGGGTCTGTCTGACTACCCCTCTGAGCTCACACTCTATGGCAGCCATCCTCAACCTGAGTTCACTGGAAGCCTGGGGTTCCTTCAGAAGTGTCTAGGGGTTCCTTGAACTGTGGCAGGTTGGTTCTCCATTCGTTGGTGCATGTATAGTGTGGAGCCAGTGCCATGTGGCAGAACCAGAGGCGTGATCTTTTGGTTATCTGTAGGGGTGGCATTCTGAGCGCTCCTGTATTTGGCCATCCTTCATACTGACCACCTACTGTATGTCAGGGGCCATCCTTCATACTGACTACCAATGTCAGGGGGCATTCTTCATACTGACTACCAATGTCATGGGTCATTCTTCATACTGACTACCAATGTCAGGGGTCATTCTTCATACTGACTACCAATGTCAGGGGCCATTCTTCATACTGACTACCAATGTCAGGGGGCATTCTTCATACTGACTACCAATGTCATGGGTCATTCTTCATACTGACTACCAATGTCAGGGGTCATTCTTCATACTGACTACCAATGTCAGGGGCCATCCTTCATACTGACCACCTATGTCAGGGGCCATCCTTCATACTGACTACCAATGTCAGGGGGCATTCTTCATACTGACTACCAATGTCATGGGTCATTCTTCATACTGACTACCAATGTCAGGGGGCATTCTTCATACTGACTACCAATGTCAGGGGGCATTCTTCATACTGACTACCAATGTCAGGGGCCATTCTTCATACTAACTACCAATTTCAGGGGTCATTCTTCATACTGACTACCAATGTCAGGGGACATTCTTCATACTGACTACCAATGTCAGGGGGCATTCTTCATACTGACTACCAATGTCAGGGGCCATTCTTCATACTGACTACCAATGTCAGGGTTCATTCTTCATACTGACCAGCAGTGGAGGGAGGTCATTCTTCGTAATGACTACCAATGTCAGGGGGCATTCTTCATACTGATTACCAATTTAAGGGGGAATTCTTCCCAATGACCACCTCTGTCAGGGGGTCAATCATCATACTGACTACCAAAGTAAGGGGGAGCATTCTTCCCACTGACCACCAATGTGGCATTTTTCCTATTCATTCCAGATTAATTGGTTTTAGTAGGGGTTCCCTGAGACCTGACAGTTGGGGGGATCCTCTGGAGATCGCAGGTTGAGAAAGCTGCCCTGTGGGGTGTCATCTGCCTCCCCTGAGCCCCCTGTGTTCTGGAGTCTAGAAGTACTATACTGTAACTGGACTGATTATTGATCACACCCCCAACCTATCATAACCAATTTCTACAATATATGGACTCTAAAGGTATCTATTGATCAGAGTGATCTAAATAATTGATGATGATTCCCCCCCTTCACCCTCCAGAGGATTTACCCCCCTTCACCCTCCAGAGGATTTACATACCCCCCCCCCCCCCCCCCTTTCCTGACTAGTCCATTTTTTGCGTTATGGCGCTACGTTACTTTAACTGACGATTGCGCGGTCATGCAATGCTGCACCCAAATTAAACATATGTCCTTTTTTCCCCACAAATAGAGCTTTCTTTCGGTGGTCTTTGATCACCTCTGCGTTTTTTTTATTTTTTGTGCTATAATCAAAAAAAGAACGAACATTTTGAAAAAAATATATATATATTTTTTACTTTTTGCTATTAAACATGCCAAATAAAAGAATTTTAAAAATCAAATTTTCATCATAAATTTACACCAAAATGTCTCCCGCTCCGTGTCTTTGCTACAAAAAATCCCGATACGTGGAAATTAATTGGTTTACGTGAAAGTTATAGCGTCTACAAATGGCGGGATAGATACTGGGATTTTTTTTTCTAGTAATGGCAGCGATCAGCGACTTATATCGGGACTGCGGCGGGCGTTCTGACACTGGAGGGGGAAGCTGACTTGGTGTCACTGACATCCCCAGTGACACCAATACAGAGATCAGTGATAATAAAAAGCACCGACATTGTACTAATGGCACTGGGCAGGAAGGGGGTAACATCTGGGGAGATCAAAGGGTTAACTGTGTGCTGTGTTACTAGGGAGACATGTTGT